TTTTTTGGTGGAGGGAGAAAGGAAGGAAGTGGGCACAGTTCAATTCATAACACCAACTAAATATAAATGCCACTGTGGTAAGATCAGCTTGACCATGTCATTTTTTAAATGGTGGTTTTCTTTGTTTCTATTGTGGTTTTTGCTCATCTTATCAGAAAATTGGATAACTTTAGATACTGAATATGAAAGAGTAAAACATTAAAAGTTTAAAGTGAAGGCCAGGCATGGCAGCTCACACCTGTATTCACAGCAATTTGGGAGGCCGAGGTGGGCGGATCACCTGAGATCAGGAGTTTGAGACCAGCCTGGGCAACATGATGAAACTCTGTCTCTACTAAAAATACAAAAATTAGGTGGGTGTGGTGGCGGGCACCTGTAATACCAGGTACTGGGGAGGCTGAGGCAGCAGAATCACTTGAAACTTGGAGATGGAGGTTGCAACGAGCCTAGATCATGCCACTGCACTTTACCCTGGACAACAAAGCAAGAATCCGTCTCAAAATAAATAAGTAAAATAAAAATAAAAAAATAAAGTGAATCCCACAGATTTGCTTATACTCTTTATAACTAGATTAAGTGTCTACAACAGCGCTTTTTTTGAGTAACTTTATGGGGATATACATCAGGTGCCAACCACTCCACATTCCAAAGGGAGGCACAGACTTGCTTTGCAGGACTTGCAAAGCGGTGTCCAAAATGGTTTCCTGGCCTTAGGCTCAGCATCCCCCTGAAGGGTATGAAGGAAGAGCTGCGGTCTCCCGTTGGAGAGATTGGATGGATGCTGAGTGCTCATCTTCTTCCCCTTCCCTGACAGACAACTCGATGTGCATCCCTGGACCTACAGAGACAAAGAAGTGTCAGATTTATTCCAGAAAATCGTTAAAGGATGAGAGGCTTGTGAAGAGGCCCAGAGCAAAACCAAAGAAGGCTACAGCCTGGAAATAATTGTATTCCCCCGATAATAGGCCAGATTGCATCTTTCTTATCACTCTGTGGTGGGCATTGTGAGACAAAGCTTAACCTGGGATTATTTTAGATCTTGTCAAAGAAGGCCCTGGCCAATGAGGCTGTCTCTGCAGGAAGCAGCTGGAAGTGCATCATCCCAGATCCCAGGTGGAGAGACCAGCCTCAGGAGAACAGCTGAGGCTGAGGGATTCATTCTACCTGGGAAAACTGCACATGACGGATAACCATTCATGGGCAGGGATCTTAACCCCCAAGGATGCCCTGAAGAATTCAGCACCCAACCTCCTATTACTTTCAAAGGAATCACACAACAGTTTACAAGGGGGCATGTCGATAACTTTATTAGTGCCGAGCTCTGCCTTTCTCTGTAATACCTCTCACTTCAGTCCTCCATGAGTCATAGTGTTTCATGGGTGTATGATAAAGCAATGGAAGCCTCATGCCTGGAAATAGGAAGAAAGTTCACTATAAGGGACCTGCTCATTAAAGTGGACCCAAACTTGTGAAGAGAACTTGGATCACAGGTTGGCATCTTGATTTTTTTGATTTTTATGGAGTACACAGAATTGCAACTAGTAAAGGAGACAATTCTCGAGAGGAAAGGTGATTAGAGGACATTTTGTGACCTGGGAGTGAGTGGATACATTCTGAGAATTGCTCTATATTTCACTAAGTAACAGGGGTTTGCCCCTCAAAGTGGGGGTGGTTTTAAGGAGGCAATCGGTTGTGGGGAGGTAGGAAAGTTGATTTCTGATTTTATCTTTGCTCATCTTCCAGGCTACATAAACATTAAGAACATTGTTATTTTACTTTAACAAAGAAGTTTATAAATAGTCCAATATTAAAATTTGATTAAATGATACTTTTGGAAATACATTAATTTTACTGAATGCCCTCTAGCCTTACTATAAAAAAGAATGCTTTGCAAATAATGAAAGCTAAATAAAAATAAGCCAGCTTCAGCCATTTTAAGTGACGGAACACACTTTGTACCTTGGGGATGGGGAGAGGGCAGGAAATGAAGAAATTAAAGGCAAGGGCGTCTCACTGAGGTATATCAAATCCTATTAGACCAGGTCATTTCCTTGGCTGGAAACTGGACAGGGCTCCTATTGTCCTGTCTACTTTGCCTGAAATCTTTTATTTATTCTCCATGTTTGTTTCATTGGCAGGTAATTCTATTCCTGTTTCTACATTTACCATGCTAGATCCGTCTTTTCCCTGATTTTATTTTTAAGTTACTATGATGTTCTTACTAAATATATAAATGCTTATTATTGGGTTTTAGCTGTTTCTATAATAAAGAGTTGTAGTTATTGTAAGTTGCATCTCACTAAGCTTTAAAAATGTATTCATCCACTGTAGAGAAGTATGTTTCATTGAAATTTGATTGCACACAAAGCTTGACATGAGGTTTATTCTCTTTGTGAAATAAACCATTCAATCTGGAATGCATTCACATTTATCTGAAACTTGAAGGAAATAAGTCATCTTTCACTTATATTTTAATATCCCATATTTCCATTAAATTAATGGAAGGTTAGACCTAAAGCTCTCTTATTGGACACTTATTATTAATGATTCTTTGCACATAGAGTGCATGAATAGCTCACAAGAAAATTTCACCAAAGTCATGTTATATATTTCTCATAATAATCCTAAGAGGTAGGGTTGACAGACATTAGCATTCTGACATCAGAATTGGAGAGAGATTCTTCTGTCTCATTTAAGGGATTTGCCCAAAATTAACCAGTCCATGGTAAATCCAGCTCTATAATATTACCCTTAAGAATATTCAAAAGGTCCCGGGCGCAGTGGCTCACACTTGTAATCCCAGGACTTTGGGAGGCTGAGGCAGGTGGATCATCTGAGGTCAGGAGTTCAAGACCAGCCCAGCCAACATGGTGAAACTTCGTGTCTACTAAAAATACAAAAAAAAAAAAAAAAAAAAAAAGCTAGGAGTTGTGGCAGGCACCTGTAATCCCAGCTACTAGGGAGGCTGAAGCAGGAGAATTGCTTGAACCTGGGAGGTGGAGGTTGCAGTGAGCCAAGATTGCGCCACTGCACTCCAGCCTGGGCGACAGAGCGAGACTCTGTCTCAAAACAAAAACAAACAAAAAAGAATATTCAAAAGGCGCATGGGACAAGGAGAGGTCATTTCACATCCTCTTGAGGAGCACAGGTCACTCCAGACTATATTTTTCCTAGATGACTGGGGGACCCTGCTCTCCTCCTTTTGGCTCTAGGGACTTGATTCCTGAAGACGGGTCATGCTCCAATGTCTAGTTTAGAGTTTTTCTACTACACCACTTGGTCTCTTATTTTATTTCTCTGCTTTTTGGTTTTATTCTTTTTTAATCTCCTGGATCACAATATAATCATTTGAATTTTTGTTGTGTATACAAGGGCTCACAGAAAATGTGTAATAAACGTGGTTCGTGGGAAAATCTTGCTAACGGAATCCAGTAGATTAATAACTGAGAAAATAAGGCACACATAACAAAAGGTTGTTCATGGCTGTAAGTTCAAGAGTGGGAATTGATTAGAGTGATAGAATAAATACATGTGCATATGTTCTGAATTGATTAGGAATATTAAAAAGATACCTAGATTCCTAGAAAAATTAAAAAGAAACATTTTTTGTAAGAAATATGAAGTTCAAGTATAAACTTACCAAACAACAGAAGTGATAAAGTGTTAGCATAAAAAATTAGCATCATGATTATTCTGTATTGTTTACACAGATCTGTCAAGTCAAATGTTTGGCCAGAGCCATTCTTTATTCAGTTATCAAAATGATAGAGTCATTTGGATGAGTTCAGAGACTTCTGCCTTATGATAAAAAAGATAATTGTAAATCAAAAAAGAGTTTAAAGGCTATACTAATTAAACAGCTAATTGGATATTAGAAGATTTGTTTCTCCAAACTTCTACTATTTTTGATTTTCTTTTCTGTTTGTGGAAGTTTTGGGAAGCAACGTTTTATTCTGTGATTAGCTTCAAAGAGTTTCAGCCACGGGTTATGGGACTGGACCATGTATACTTGAAGTGTGCTTCAAACCATAAAATTCTGTGAGATTTTGTGAGCAACTACATCTTATTAATAAAAAAGAATTGCTGTTTATACCCTATTTTAAAGTACTTATTTTTGCTTTCTCAAATATAAGGATGATGTACTATGAATTTGTAATATCATTAACTATGAAGACAAAAGATATAAAAATTTACTGTTCACTCATTTTTCCTTAATTTCCAAGAACCTTAATCTGGAATTTAAGCTTAAACTTACTTTAAACATTATCTTTATTGTTTTATTTTCTATGAAAAAAAAATCCAACCTATCTATTAGTATGCCACTTTAAAAATATTAAAAGCCAGTGGATAACTGCAAAAGAAGGGCTTTTAATTTTATATCAAATAATAAAATAATTTATTCTATTGATAATTCCAAACTCTCAAATAATATCTTGCTGCAGTACTAAGGAAATGGACAAAGGAAGAAAAAACAGCTTTTCATGCCTTTCCTGAAACAACTGTAGGAAATTTTTGTCATGCTACAATTATTCTGTGATCATGAAAAATTCTTTTAAAGACATGATAGCCACAATCATTTTATCTTCTGACTTACTAAGCAGTCTGAGGGTGAATAGAGAGTTTCGATTCCAGCTTATGGTTATAATTACTAACTGCAAAAATCCTATTGCCTTTCATTAAGTAGTTCAAATATTTAATTGAGACTACAGGGTGTCCACACACAGCGTTGTACCATGCATAATTATCCCTACACATACAGGAACACTGAGGGTACTTTTAACAATAAAACAGATTATCAAAAAATTACATTTTTAATTTAAGTTTTGACTTTAATCTTTTCTGTGGTTAAATACACATTTCTGCATTTTTTCTGCAAATGAGGACGTTAAGCTAAATAAATGAACCATAAAGTGACAGAAGAAAAAACTTTGCACTGTTACATAAATGGATAAATCTTTAATATGCATTAAACATAGCACTATGTCTTTATTTTCTAACAGCTTGTATGAGAAAGAAGAACTGGTGATGCAGGAAGTCAAATACCACCAGCTTAGTGGGTCAGCATCCTCTCCTCCCACATAAGCGGAGTTCGGAGCATGAGATAAAATACCTGGGTGCCCTTTGCTCCAGCCTCGTGCTCCCACAACTTTGCTTCTGACAGAGTACTTATCTCTCTGACCACTGGGAAACTACTAAAAGAGAGAAACTTGAAAAGGATTGGACCTTTCTGTGCAGATCTCTTTGAAAATTGTCACCTTCCAGGTTAGCTTTTAAGAGAAGCCCAATATATTAGGAACCTGAAAATAAAGGAAAGTTTGCACATTGAAACATCACTTGCTAATAGTTTTATTATTGGAAATGGAAATTTGGAATTCTAGAAAAAGAAATGTCATTAGGGGGTTAGGAATTAACCACTTGCTACCTATGCTAATGTGACGTGGTTAAAAGAAGCTGCAGGAAGTTCCTGAAATTATTGAAACAAAAATTTCCCCCTGAAATCTAAGTCATGCAAGTGAAATTATTTAAACATTCCCTTCAACTTTATATTTCAAAAGCGCTTTACAATAGCTTCTTATGTTATCCATCCCTCGACTAGCTGAAAGGCATGCATTTTTATTGTTTTAGTTACTATTTAGCTTTATGAACAGCATTCTTGCTTTGTTGTAATTACAAACATTTTTTTCCGTGGGGATGGAATGACCATGCTCTGCTATTTCTGCCAGGTACTAATTGTCAATAGAAAATAGAGCCAAGTAGAGCAACCTTAGCTCTTCAATCAACACATCCAGTATTAAGGAAAAAAAAAAAAAGACATTGATATCTGAAATGTAAATTCAAATCTTTATCCAACACGCAAGAATTGTAATTGTGGGAGATTAGGTTGGGAAAAAATAAAAAGGTGTATAATTAGAGTGTCAGGATTACAGCTTTCACTGGAAGCTACTGTATCAGGTATAACTCTGCAAAATTGTAGATGGTTTGCAAATCATCCTTGCTCACATTTAATGATCTATTACTATGTGCCAGGTATTCTGTCTGAAACAGCATGGGAAGAGGAATCAGAGACAGAACTGCCACCTATGTGGGACCTTGCTGGGGTGCAGAAATTTTGTTTCTCACATTTTTGAAATGTAATACTTTGATTTGAATTTTACTCCTGCTTAAGGACACCAAGATGAAAGCCGATGGCCCCCTGCCCCCTTCCCTGGTGTAGTTTGTTAAGAAATGACTTTAGTTCTATGAAAGTGGATTCTTAGTTACAAACATAAAGAAGTATCACTGGCTAGTGAGAAGGGATTTTATTGAAAGGATATTGGGAGTTCATTTATCTTCCGGGATCTGCAGATGGGCGGAGAGACTAGAAAACCAAGAACATGAACCAGGCACCATTCAAACTTCAGAACAGTGAGGGTACCAGAACAGCTTCTAGGGAACAAGGCCCGGCACGGCCGCCTGGAAGTTGCTGGTACCGGATGCTTGACTGTCCTTATTTCCTGGCATTGCCAGCTGCAGAGGCAGCTAATTAACAGAGCCAGGGGTGCATCCAGGGCTCTCTTTATGGGGGCATCCACAGTGGGAGGTAGTGGGTTTTGATGCAGGAAATTACTGTGTTATATCTCAGGTTTTCTCAATTTATGTAATAAATGTATGCATAGGTTCAGATGGAAGTAAGAAGTGCCACATCTGAGAGCTGCAGAAGCACTGTAATCACCCATCCCAAAGGAGATGATTTCTTAGGAAAAGAAGTGAGTTTGGGAAATATATTAGATGTATTCTCCTGTCTCTTCCATATTCCTGGGAATTTGAGCCATCACTTATCTCTGATATGCTTTGCTTGAGAGGCAGTTTCTATACTATATTTGATGATGTGCATCTGATAATACATCATTCAAATATTTCCCAGCTGTGTTAACTGAGTCTCTAGAGGCAGGTCTCCTGAGAATTGTCAGTTGTGTTTATTTTCCAGTTAAGTCTACTTTCAGAGAGCCATTATGAAACAGAAAAGTTTCAACAGAAAGATGATTATTGTTAATATTATTGTGGTAAGACCACTTAATTTGAGATCTATCCTGTTAGCACATTTTTACATGCGCACTGTTGTGTTGTTAACTATAGGTGCAATGTTGCACAGCAGACTTCAGGAGCTTATTCCTCTTCCACAATAAAACTCTGTACCGTTACTGTTGAACAGCAACTTGCCATTTCTCCCTCCCCTCACCTCTGCAACAGAATGATAAACCTGGAGAACATTATGCTAAATAAAATAAGCCAGTTACAAAAGGACACATATTGCGTGATTTCACTTATGTGAAGTATCTAAAATAATAACGCTCATAGAAATAGACAGTGAGATTTTTACTGGGAAAAACATTCGCTCTTTAAAGCAATTGAGAGAGATTTGCTTTAGTTGATCAAAATTATAAGCCACCAGAAACTCCCCAAAATGGCATATTGTTGAAGCCATAGTGTGTGCACAGTTGTTGAATAGGCACTTCAGAGATAAGAAGAGTAAAGTGTGGTATAAAAAAGAGAAAAATGCTAGAATGCAGTCATTGCAACATTAAAAGAAATGCTTTATCGTGGGTGAGATCCTTTGGCCAAACTATTTCAACTTGGAAAGATGTAGTAATACAAAAAGATTTCAATACAAGGAAATAAAGAAATTGCATGTGTGCTACTTCGCAAAAGAGTAAGAATTTAATGGATCAGGTTAATTATTATAAAATTAACTTTTACCATCTACATTAAAATTAGGAATTTTCTGATAATTTGTTTTCTTTTTGTCCTTTCAGTAAAGAACTCAGTATGTTTAACTTTGTTTTAAACAGGAGTGGCTGCCTGTGTCTTGCAGTTTGAATGCAAGACACTCAAATGCTCAAGAATTATCAAGGATAGTTTATGTTAAGAAAGGAGCATTCTGTTGAATCACTCAATAATGGTTATTATTTAGGATGAGCAACAGTTAATCACAAAAACTTAAATTCAAAGATACTGCTTAGAATTGTGGGTGAGAAATATCCTAAAATACAACCTTTATTTATTTTGGAACTCGTTTTAATGCAGAATAATCCTAGCGCTATAGTTAGTAACAAGAAGAAATCAATTTAAATGTCATGCTGATTTAAATTTAAGTAGTATACATTATAAAAATGGCAATTTATTGTTAGTTTTCAGACTCTGTATAGCTATTTTTTTCTCCATTCTCTTCTTATGAAATATTCAGGGAAGATATTATTACTTTCACTTTGCAAATGGGATAACTGAGAACTCAACAAATTATATAATTTATCTCAAGACACAGAGCTGGTTCATGGTAAAGCTATCATCAGCAATCTCATGATTATTAGAGTTATCCCTTTCCAATTCTGAAATCCTCTGGGAAGTGTCAGAATTTACACTCCTCACTGGGAACTACTATTGCAGTTGGAACTCTGAGGCTTTATTTGGGAGTTTTTACTGATTATAGAAAATCTCTTGTTAAGAGAGGTTTTAATAAATAAAATAAGTTTGGGATATTACCAGATAGCCTCTATATCCTCAGAGCTCCCAGCATCACACCTTTTATAAGAACAGTAAAGAAAAACAAAGTTCCTCCCCTCCTCCTGCCCTGTGTTGTTTTTCCAAAACAAACAAAAAACAAACAAACAAACAAAACTACACACTAAGTGTGAAAGTGATTGGAGCAGGGGAAGGCAAGCTGGGGCTGTACCAGGTCCAGGGTTGAAAAGAATTAGGGGATTATTACAGTTCTCGTTTGAAGACAAACACTTGTCAATATATGTCAATGAACTTTATTGAACAACCACTATGTACTGGCACTCCTCTTAGGTATTTTGTACACTTAAACATCTAAACCAGGGTTTTCCAAATTTCTTATGATGAAACAGATAGAAGGTGATGATGCTGGCACAGCACACACGGAGAGTGTGACGGAAGGAGATCAATTAAGGATGAGTGGGTCCGTATCTCTACGCACCTGCCACCAGCTGGACGGCTGTGCTGGAGGTCTAAGCCCTGGATGCTTAGCTGTGTGATCTGTGAACCGGCAGCATCAGCCTCCCCTGGATGCTGGTTACAAATACACCTCTCAGGCCCACCCAGACCTGCTGAATCAGAATCTGCTGTTTCCAAAATTCCCGAGCGATTCTCATGCACCTTAAAGCTTTAGAAACACTGTTCTAATTAGTGTTCTTAAAATATTGTTATGGGATACAGGCTTTAGTAAATTCTCAGGATATTCTACCATGTACTCAAGTTTGAGAAACAGGAGATTTAATAAATACTGATGTTTGGATTCCATCCACACAGATTCTGTTTTGATTGGTTTAGGGTGTAATCTGGCATTAACATTTTAAAATTGCCTCTGGTGAGTTTTATGAATGGTAATGTTTGGGAACACCTGTTTTAAGTTAAGCCGTGAGCTAAATTGTTCTTCACCATTTTACAGATGTGGGAACTGAGAAATTATAAGGAAATCTAATTTGTGAGTGGTAGAGCCAGACTTAAGCTTAGACCCTTAACTCACTTCTTCTCAGTAGTGGTCTGTGCTGTTTACTATTTTACAGGAGAGTTCTATATTACTATTTTTAATACGTTAGTATTATTTAAATATATTTTTTCCAAAATATGCCTGTGGTGGATGATACTGAGTGGCCACTTGATTGGATTGAAGGATGCAAAGTATTGATGCTGTTGTGTCTTTGAAGGTGTTGTCAAAGGAGATTTGAGTCAGTGAGCTGAAAAGGCAGACACACCCTTTATCTGGGTGGACACCACCTAAATCAGCTACCAGCTCAGCCAGGATATAAAGCAGGCAGAAAATCACAATGGCAAAGCAAACTAAATATGGCCTGAGAAGGACTCCATACTTCTGTATTTGAGTCCTTGTGGATGGACTGTAACCTAGCTTAATAGTCAGACAAAATTTAAAACCTAACTTAATAATATGCACTGTAACAGTGATTGAATGTTGCCAATCCCAGCAGGATTCAACCACTCATAGACTGCTTTTGTTCAAACTGCGTTCAAACAAGGCAAACGCTGAGCTGGAACCAATCTCACTGTTCAGTGTACCTCACGTCTGATTCCTGTAGGTCACTTTATCTTTTTTGTTTATACATTTATTCTGATCACGAGGCACCCCTAGAGTCTCTGTGAATCTGCTGTGATTCTGGGGGCTGCCTGATTCGTGAATCATTCATTTCTCAATTAAACTCCTTTAAATTAATTCAGCTGAAGTTTTTCTTTCATCAGTGAAAAGACTAGACTGGCTTAGCCTTCCAGCCTGCGTCTTTCTTCCATGCTGGATGCTTCCTGCCCTTGAATATCAGACTCAAGGTTCTTCAGTTTGGGGACTCAGACTGGCTTCCTTGCTCCTCAGCTTGCAGATGCCCTATTGTGGGGTCCTGTGATCATGTGAGTTAACACTTAATAAACTCTCCTTTATATATACATCCTATTACTTCTGTCCCTCTAGAGAACCCTGACTAATATGATGTCTCCATTGAAAAGAAGAGAAAATCTATTTAAAAAACTGATATAGTCATAGTCCTTCAAGAAAACTACCAAAGGAACTCATATGTTGTAGACAGTTATTTTGTT